GAATTCCAAAGGGTGTGGGCAGAGAGGAAGAAGGCCCTAATGCCAATGGTGGGGGGCGCCGGAGGCTGCTGAGCGGAGAGGTCAATGTGACAGTGGGAAGTGCTATGATAACCAAAAGTTAAAAAAGGATGCAGGAAAAACAAATGATCAAACAATAACAAAATGAACATACACAAAAACTATAAAATAGACAAAGGTATAAAAGAAATTTAAAAATCAAGCTATACTTTATTTAGCACAGAAATCTGTATCCACAACATGCACATACAACTTTTAAATATAATGATAAAAATATCAACAAAATAAATACAAGTGTATAATCATTGAGTATATTTAAATGTACATAGTGATTCAAGTCAATGTCTTTGTGAATACTGCATAATGATATTTATAGATTCAACCTTTCCAACACTGACATGACTGTCTGACCCTTCTCACTCAGTCCCAACAGACCAGTCTTTTCAGATGCAATAAAACATGTGGTGTCTGGTGACTGATAAGTACCTCAGCCCGGTCTTTTCCAGCCATTCTGTGACATAGCTTATGGGAAACTGTGGCTCAACACCTCCACATACAAGGATCAGTAACCAGCTTCAATTCTCTGCTGCTCACACAGGGCTCAGGAGAAGCTACTCAGGTCTTCTCCTTAGGTATGCTTCTGTCGAGCTCCATTAATCTTTTCAACTCCCCCAATCCTAAGGGTCTGTTAGGATGTAATCCCTGATTAATATGATTCAGTGAACTCCTTGCTCCACATGGAGCAGATGTGAATAGAAAGTTAGATTTTCCTCAGCATCCTTTTTTCTTTCCAGGAAAAAACAAGTATGGCTCCACCCTTACATGTTTTAGCAAAAGCTGTCATTTTGGGTAAATCTGCTCAATGGTTATTCAGGGAACATGCCCTGCCGGGCAATATAAATGATGACTGTGCTATTCATATGCAGTGCGCTTTGCTGGATTCGCTGAGACTAAAATAAGATAGATACAGTCCTGCTGAAGTACTACAGCTGAAGGTGGTTTAAATAGACATCCTAGCAGAAATTGAAACAATGGCAGGTACTTCATTCTTGAACAAAGCTCATCTGCACTGATTTAAACAATGGGCATCAATCATTGCCTATAAAATATCCCTTATAAAGGGATGTCCCAATTAACCATATTCCGCAAGGTTAAATGTGAGCACGCATCTGTTCCCTTGATCACTTTTGCTTGAGAATCTCTGCTTACAGCATCTCAATCCCAATTCTAACAGAAGCCGTGCCTGGCAGAAAGTTACATTTGAACGCTATGTTTATGTTTTTGGACTTTTCTTTCCAAGAGATTTGCCATGAATTTCTCCAAGAGCTAAGCGTGCAATTGCTGAATTTCAGGAAGTGCAAACGTCGGACGAGTCATCTTAACCCTTTGAGAACTGAGTTTTTCCCAGCTTTACATTTAACAAGTTTCCATCCCATATTTTAGGGAATATTGGGCAGGGTTCTGCAAAAGAATAGAGCTCAATATTACTTCTAATTATAGACCACTTAGAAATACTGTCATTATACAAAATAACCCTCACCCAGATGTCAACTTTCGCCTCTAAGTTTTTATTCAAACAGAAACAAAAATCTGAATGTAATTACCCTCAAATGTATTCTGGCAATTCAGTGGGTCTGATTTAATCTTTTTCTGTGCCATGCAACATCTCATCTGGCTGCCCGCTGAGGCGGGATTGCACTGGAAGCATTGTGAAGCACTCTTTTCTATTGATTTAATTTGTGACACAAAGCAGTATCTGTTCCCTGCAAATGATATGCTAATACAGCTGCTGGTAGTATCCAAAGCCATGTCCACTCCTGTGATAAGAAAGAATGGCTGTTACGTTGCTCTGGTGAATTAAGGGGGCCATTAAAACATTGCTACATTAGTATGAAAGGGGCAATTGTAAAACCTCTAGTTCACCATGCACCCTACATACCAAAAATGTCATTGGCATGGTAAAACTTTCCAATAATTAATGCCTAGTTGTCCTTATTTTATTAGTTTGGAATTAAATGTTTTAAAATATTAAAGTTTTTTCTCACTACAGTAACAAATTTAGTAGCATGGCAAAACATTTATACCTGAACATGATGTGGATGATACCATGTCCTATATAAGCTGCTGTTTATGGGATGTTCTTCAGACTCGCATTTTAAAGCTCTGAAGCACAAGCTGTTTGCTTACAACATTACATTTGAGAGGTTGTATCAGCAGCACCAAATCATGAGTACCAGTCACCCAGCAGAAAATAATCCATTTGTGATAAGGCAAAGCTATTTTGAATCTGTTCCAATGTCACTTACCCAGGTCCACTTAACTAACCTCCGCTACCTGCCTACTTACACAGCCGCCTACTCACCTGTAGATAGCAATGCAATTTCACAAGTGACTTCAAAGCCAACATTTCACATCTGGTATCTTAATGAAAATAACTGTAAACTTCAGGAGTAATAGGAACCTTTAACCTCTTGTAAAAAGAACCAGCATATAAGCCTTCCCCCAAATGGAGTACGCAAACTTCAACACATTTTCATGAAATTACAGTGAAGGTGATATTACAACTAGATTCAGACTGCATCATTTTGGACTACAGTGCTATGAATACCACTGTAGTCATCAAAAGATTAAAACAAGCATAGCACAAGGTATAATACTTTACTTCGGCCCCCTCCACCCCTTTTTTCCAAAGTAGTATATTTACTTTAGCCCCTGATATCACTCAAAGAATTTTTCTGAAGGTAAAACAGTTGATTACTGCTTCCTAGTCTATAAGTAACATATTACACGAGTACTACAATAAAATGCCACATTTGAAACTGAAATGTTGTTTGCATATTGCGACTTCATCATCACCCCTCAGAAACGTACAGCTACCAGTCAGAAATTTTGCAGAGAGAAGAGCCGGGGATAGATCTTTAATATTGGTGTGACTTAATTTGACACTAAAACTAATCTTAAAACTGCTCTGCCTCACAAACAAATGTGCATTGTTTTAAAGGGTGTCATTAAAAGTGTTTTCCCTAAATATCACAATTTACAATGCATTTAATTTTGAATGTACAAAGTTTACATCTTTCTGTCAGGGTTCAGTGCTTCTTTATGTGCCTTCTGTTTTCAAGTTTCAGAGACCACTCTCTTGCAATGATCGAAGGCAGAAACTACTGGAATGTTACAAACCAGAGATCAGTCACAGAGATTCCTAAACAATCTCATATGGGCAAAATAATTTTGAAACCAAACACATCGTAAAATAATTTTTTAGAGATATTCTGTAGTTGCAAACTGTTCCGATTTGTTGGCAAGCCACAGCTAACTATCTGGATGTTCAATAGTGATCTTTCAGATGATACCAGTAACAGTTGGGAGTGTTGGTCTCCATTGATTTATGTCAAAAGGAGTTCTATGATGAATTCACATGGATGGGCTGAGAAAATCTAGGCTTTCTAAAGTGAAATCTGAATCTGCATCAAGGAAAAACAAGTGCTTTAACGTGAGAAGGCACTCTATATGGCTTTTCCGTCTGTCTAATAAAGTACTGGTATAGATCCATATTGAACGTATACACAATCATTTAGTTCCGCCACAATTTAATTTTTTCTCACAAAATGTTTGACTATGCAATATAAACAACCATGATAATAGGAATATTTCAGCAGAGACAGATAACCCATAGTAATCAGGTATTACAAGGAAATTCAGCATGAGTGGACTAAACCTCATCTTTGCTTTGTCCAAAGGATAAGTTGGTCCCTGAAACTTGAAAACAAAAGATCAATAGTGATCTTTCAGATGATACCAGTAACAGTTGGGAGTGTTGGCCTCCCTTGATTTATGACGAAAGGAGTTCTACGATGAATTCACATGGATGTGCTGAGAAAATCTAGGCTTTTTAAAGTGAAATCTGAATCTGCATCAAGGAAAAACAAGTGAGTAACTTTTATTCATATGGAATAAAAGCAATGTATTAGGACTGTAATATTTCTCTGAATATATTGCATGCTGTCTCGTTTAAGATTGATTTTTAAATCATTTTTAATGATTCTTTTGAACATCACATACACTGAACCAACATATGCATGTCACGTGTATAGGAATAATGAAGTAGAAAGGCTTTCTTTCAAACAATGCTATAATGATTTAAGTGCTGTACGTCTGAAATGCACAAAAAGCGAGGCAAAGTGTATGCAAACCCCAAATTGTTGTGATCGTGATCAAAAGAACCCTGGTATTGCCCCCAAAACAATTGCAAAGAAATGAAATATGAAAAAGGTCAAATTTGTTCATAACCTGTTTTTTTAAAGTTAGTATTGTACCTTCAATCCAGAATAACTGGAGAAGGTGTGGTTTTCCAGATAAAAAAGCATTATCTGCAATGTCTCAGATTATGAACTCAGGGCTATTGTTTGCTAAGTGATTGTATAGAGTAATCATAAACCGCACCATCCCCAGATTCATCGCAAAACCACATGAGCAATCTCAAACAATCTGTGAATAAAAGCCTAACTAACTTCTTTCGCTCCTAGTACAGTCAATAAACATCTTTTCACGGGATGCAGTCGCAGCACGAGTCTCCTTTCACATTCCCCCATCTCTAACCAGAAAGTGCTCTAGTGCCATCTAGAGGCCATCTACTTCTCTAATTGCTTGGCTTCGGTCCCAAGTTGCAATGAGATCAATTGAAGAGAGCTGCACTTAAATCTTTGTTAGTAGGAAATTAATAGGCCTGGACAAACAAACCGTGTCAAGAAAATAACTTTCCCCGTATTTTATCTGTTTTGTCACATTATATTTTTAGGACACAAGGCAGGCAGGCTGTGATGATAATTACATTTTTACAAGTTAACAAAGTTTCATTTGCACTGGATTCCCTAAAACAGACTTGTGCAACAATTTGTTAGTGCTGTGTTTTGCACTTATTTGTACTGGGGAATTCTGTACTTGAATGAAGGACTGGTAGACCAGTAAAAGTTCTCGGTTACCTGTCTGGTGTGCATTGGGCCCTTTGTCTTGAAGCCTCCTTGGGAGCTACACTCTGAGGCACTGAAGTGGTCTGAACTAGTGGAAGAGCGCTTAGACAGGGTATCGCAACCCCCAACGAAGGTGTTGTCCAATGGGAGCTCCTGAATCACGTGATGCTTTTTCGCGGACACGGGAGTATCTGGTTTTAGATGAAAGGAGGGCTGTGGAGAGCCAGATTTGTAATGCCTCGCTAGATCTGGGCTATTGGGCTTAAAGGTTGTTGGTGGTGTTGCGCCCCAGTCAAACCGTCCTATAGTCTGCTCCTCCAGCTCAGCTGGAAGAGTAATGGTCCCGTTTATAGGTTCGTGAGCAGGATCATCTGGTTTGGATTCCTCGATTGTAACAAAGTTCAAAAGAGAGCTCTTTGGAGATTTCCTTTTCTTCCTTTTTTTCTTCTTGCTCTGTTTGCCCTCTTGGTTGGGAGACATCCATTCAGCCCCCTGCTTGTTCCTTTGCGTGGCTTTGAACCGAGATGATTGGCGGCAGCGCACTAATACAGTAACAAAGATGACTACAATGACAACCATAGCCCCCGCCACTATGGCGATCATGATGGTCAGATAATCTTCATTTTGCCAGGGCTGAGTGCCTTCTCCAATGTTCTTATCCAATGGTGTCTCCATAGTCCTTCGTATTAGTTCATAAATGTAACTAGCATTGCCTACAGTCTCATTGACATACAGAAAGACGAGTACAAGAGTGTGCAGGGGTTCAGGATAACCCAAGTCGCTGATGTTTACCACTAAACGATGCAAGCCCTCATCTGCAACAGTTGGTTTCTCCTCCAAAGTAATGTTACCTGTTACGGGGTCAATTCTGAACAAGCCCTTGTTATTTCCACTAACAATTGTATATTTGAGTTCAGCATTCATTCCCGTGTCGACATCTATGGCAAAGACTTCTGCTACCACCGAACCAGGGATAGCAGAAAGAGGTACCAGTTTGAAAGATGAGTTCGAAGGCGGGTAGATGACAACCGGGCTGTTATCATTGACATCTATGACATTGATGGTCACTTTAGCAATGGATGAACGAGGAGGTCGCCCTCTGTCCACTGCCTTGACTTGGAAGGTATAGGAGCTCTGCACTTCTCTATCGAAAGAAATATTGGACCGTATGACCCCGTTCAAAGGGTCCAGTATGAAGTTGGCATTGTCCTCCAGGATGGCGGTGCTGACATCCTGGTTCTCACCGGCGTCGATGTCGGTGACGGTGATAACCCCCACCGTGCTGTATTTGGCCAAGTTTTCGGAGACGAAGAACTGGAAGTGGTTGTGCGTGAACTTGGGGCTGTTGTCGTTCTCGTCCAACACGGTGACGATGACGGCCGCCTGGCTCTGCAGGGGCGGGTTTCCGCCGTCTCGGGCGGTCACCGTGAAGATGTAACGCTCCTGCTTCTCGCGGTCGAAGACCCGGGAGGCGGTCAGCACGCCTGTCCTGCGGTCCAGGTCGAAGAACGAGGCGTTGGGTCCCAACTGGTAGACGATCTCGGCGTTTTGGCCGCTGTCCTCGTCGGTGGCCGTGAGGGTGGTCAGGTACAGGCCTCGCCGGTTGTTCTCGGGCACCGACAGCTCGATGACGGGTTGGCTGAAGACGGGCGGGTTGTCGTTGACGTCCTCCAGCCGGACCTTGACCAGGGAGGTCTGGTTCAGGCTGGGTTTGCCCGAGTCGGCGGCCACGATGTGGAAGCTGTACTCGCCGGCGCTCTCGAAGTCCAGCAGCGCGGAGGTCTCCAGCAGGTACTGGTTGTCGTACACGGCCTTGAGGTGGAAGGGCACATCCTTCTCGATGTAGCAGACCACCTTCCCGTTCAGCTCGGTGTCGCGGTCGGCCACGGTGATCAGCGCGATCTTGGTGTGCGCCGGGTTGTTCTCGGGCAGGTACACGGTGCCGTTGAGGGCGCCCAGGATGTAACGGATGTCGATGGCCGGCGCGTTGTCGTTCACGTCCGTCACGTTGACCAGCACGGTGGCCCTGGCCGGAGGGGAGCTGCCGTCGCTGGCCAGCACCGTCATCTTGTGCACGGCCGCCTCCTCGCGGTCCAGGGCCCGCTGCACGGTCAGCAGCCCGGTGGTGCCGTTCAGGGAGAAGTGCCTGCGGACGGCGGCGGACACCTGCGGGCCGAAGAGGTAGCGGACGTCGGCGTTCGTGCCCAGGTCGGCGTCCGTGGCGTGGAGCTGAGCCACCGAGGTCCCCGGTCGGGCGCTCTCGGCGACGCGCACCTCCAGCTGACTCTCCCGGAACACCGGCCGGTTGTCGTTCACGTCGCTGACCGTGACCTGCAGGATGGCGGTGCTCGACCTGCGCGGACCGCCGCCGTCCTCCACCTTGATCTTCATCACGTACGTGTCCTTCTGCTCGCGGTCCAGCGGCCGCTGCACGATCAGCTGCGGCCACTTCTCGCCCTCGGGGGTCTCCACGATGTCCAGACCGAAGACGCTCTGGCCGTTCAGCAGCTGGTAGCGCTGCACCCCGTTCAGCCCGGTGTCGGGGTCGGTGGCCGAGGCGATGGCGTAGCGGCTGTTGACCAACGCGTTCTCCGGGATGGAGATGTTGATGACCGGAGAGGGGAACATGGGCGCGTTGTCGTTCACGTCCCGCACGAACACCTTGATCTTGATGAGCCTGAAGTAGTCGTTGGGTAGGATGACCACCTCGATCTCGAAGAAGCACTCGCTGTCCGCGTAGGTGCCGGCGCACAGCTTCTCGCGGTCCACCCGGTGGCCGGTGGTGAAGATCTCCCCGGAGCCGCTGGACACCCGGAGCAGCGGCACGTCGCCCGCCTTGGACACCAGGCGGTAGATCAGGTCGGCGGCGGCGGCTCCGGCGGCTCCGGTGCCGGTGGCCGCGCTGCCGAGGTGCGAGATGTTCAGGTCGGTGGGGATGTTGCCGATCAGCATGTTCTCGGGCAGCTCCTCCTGGATGGTGTACACCAGCTCCTGGGCGAGAGCGGAATCCAGGGTCAGGCAGGCAACCAGCGCACACAGCAGGTACACATCCCGCAGGTCCATCGCTCCTCCAGTTTGCACTTCAAAATCAGATTCGGATTAAATCTTTTTTTGTGTGTGTGGTTTTACCCCATATATATAATATATATACATGCAAACACACACACACACATATATATTGTGTTATATACGTATATATATGTATATATATATATATAATGTGTCAACGCCGCTGCAAAACAAACGAAGAGGATTTGTTCAATTGCAATACGTTTTCAGGACGAGCTGCCGAGGGTTCATCGCTGCTGCAAAGAACTTTTATTTTTTTTGTAGGTGGTGGGGGGGGGGGTGGGGGGGTTCGGGCTGGTTTTAAGATTTCCGTCGAGGAAAGGCACGCGGCCACTTTGCTCCCCTTCTTCTCTCTTCTCTCTCGTGCGTTTCTCTCGTTCTCTTCTCTCTCTCTCTCTCTTTTTTCTCTCTCTCTCTCTCTCCCTTCGGTTGCAGTATTTAAAATGCACAGTGCACAAAACCGCCGGAGGATGCATTCAGTTCCAAACCAGAGCAAGCCTGCAGGATCTTAGTGCGACTCATCCGCAGGGGGGAAAAAAACATCCAATATCACAGACAAGACAGGAGTCGGTCCTGAACAACCGACAGCAGCGGCGGCAATAGTTTTCTTTTTACATATCTTCACCCCAAAAAAAGAAACATTAATGTTGGAATAGACCACTCATGCGACAGTTCACATTGCAAACAAGAAGTTGGCGAGTGTACCAGATTGCAAGCTACAGCAATTGCAGAATCTTCGCTTCTTTTTCTCTCTCTCTCTCTCTCTCTGGTTAAATCCTCAGCTGCTTTTTTTTGCAAATAAAAGCACACACACACGCACACACTGGCCGTGGGTGATCTTCCCTGATCTTCTCTTGCAGTCTCTCTTCGTGTGTGTGTGGGGGTGTAAAAAAAAATAACAGGTAAACTGCAGCGTGCAAGAAAGAGGCAGATTTGAGAGGAGTTTTTCTTTTAAAAAAAGATCACCTCCAAGCGGATGCTCTCGGTTGCTGGTTGTCCCTCTCTCTCTCTCTCTGTGCGTGTCTGTCTGTCTGTCTCTCTCTCTCTCTCACACGTCTCTCCACTGAATCTTCTCCTAACTCTCAATCAGCCCAAGTGAGTATAACCCCCTCCCGTCAGCGCCGCCCCCTCCGCCCGCGCCCATTGGTCGGTCGCTCCTCGTCAGCTGGAACCCCGGGTTCAGCTCGGACTCGGCGATTGGTCGGCGAAGCCGCCGATTAACCCGGGGGTGGCGGCGGGGGGGGGGGGCGCGCATCTAGTCCCGCCGATTGGCTGGCTGGGCTGTCAGTCAGGCGGAGACCGCGCGTCCCGCCTCGCTGATTGGTCGAGCCGACTGTCACTCGGGCCGCGGGGCGGGAGCTCGCTTAATGAGCTGCAAGGCTGACGTCACCCGCAGGCTGGGGGGGCAGTGAGCGGAGCGGTGCCACAGCGCACAGCGCTGCTGTCTGTCTGTCTGTCTGTCTGCAAACCACCCTCCTCTCTACCAGCTCCAGCAGCGCTCACCCCCTGCAACCACCGGCTCGGCTCACTCCCCATCCTCTGCCACATTGCAAACCACCGCAAAGCATCTGTGCTTATAGCAGCAGCAAGCGCAGAGGGTTTTTTTGGGGGGTGTGGGGAAAGTAACTGCAATTGTACCGCCTGGTTCCTTTCACCCGGTCAACAGGTGTTTTCTTTTTAACGCGTGGAAAAATATATATATATTTCAACCGTTGAAACTGACCACGTTTGATGTGTTCACTCGCACTCGGGCAGCACAAAAAATACAGTCAGCGGAATGATTGGGAAATGCTATGCAACAAGGTTCATTAAACGTCAAAATGTCATCGATGGGAGTTTTCCCCCCCCCCCCCCCCCAAAAAAAATGTGTGCAGAAATGCAGATATTTGCTAATCGGATTTAAATGATTTGGGATTATTGCATGTAATTTATGATGCACAGCATGTGGCTGAATCCATGCGATGCTTTCTGAATTTCCGTGGACCAGGGAACTCTGATAACAGTATTTGCAGTTTGGGAGCAGAAAGTACAGCGTTTTCCACTGGATGAATAATTCCTATCTTTTCTACAGAGGCGAGAATTTTTGATCTGCCTTTTGGAAGCACATGAAGTATCGGGGATGTGTTCTCGATTCCTGAAGCGGGTCCGTGAGATGCCAAACCCCCTTTGCGCATTTCGATCCGTGCAATTACGAAGAGTGTGGTCCTGTTAGTGCAAAACAAACAAAAAAAAGTGCAGTGCAATGTCACAACAGTTAAACGCTAAGAAAGTTATTTAACTTTCATTCACTTCGTCATTCACCCAGGAAATAAAAGCACACGTTCGCGCTATGCGGGTTAATAAATCACGAGGCACACACATAGCTCAACATAATTTTTTGGGTGACATCCTGCAAACACTGGGTTGTGATGGGCAGCGAGTAGATTGCTGTCTGTGTCGAGTAATCGGTATCGCAGTTTAAACTTATAGTGTTATTGCGGATCACCGTCCAGTCTCTGCACATCGGTCTCACACTCAGAAAGGTGGTCCCATCAGTATTCACTTTAATTGTCGGGATCGAGGAACCGCAGGACACCCGTTGCCTTTTCGGGGTGTGTTAAGTTGCACTGGTACTTTGCAGACAGGTCACACCGGAGGGGGTTCAGTTTGACGGACGGTTCGAGCCCATTCGCGACCGGTGCGGGGGGGAGGGGGGAGGGGGGCGGGCGGGGGGGGGGGAGGGGGGCGGGCGGGCGGGGGGGGGGGGGGGGGGGGGGGGGGGGGGGGGGCGCCTCGCACACCCATCCGAGCAGTAACTCCACTCGCGACCACTTCCATCTCAATCTGTCGAACATCTCTGCCTTCCGTCGAAGTATAATTCGTAGAACAGTTTCTGCCCAAACCGGGTTTACCCGACCGACCGACCGCGGAATAGCCGTGTTCGGTGCTATCCTCCGCTCGGTGTTACCTGCTCACAGTTACCGTCGGCCCCCGAGTGCGTCTCTGCTAAAGCTCTGGTTACGGGACTCAGTGGATGGTTTGGATGGTTTAGGACCGGGAGGTGGTGTGACTGACACTTGACTCATCAATCATTGGCTTCCACCCCAGATTCATCCTCCATCACAGCAAAGGCGAGAGAGAAAAGAGTGGAGTCCCGACCTGAGCTAACCGGTGCCGGGACCTGTCTAGACAGAGACAGATTGCCTCCGCCCAGTGCCATCCTGTCTAATGCTGTGTATCGGGCACACGGGAGGAGGGAGGGAGGGAGGGAGAGGGGGAGATCGAAGGATCCTCACAGCAGCACTATTTCCGACTGCAAATGAAAATAACACAAACAAATTGCAGGATTAATTGAAAGGTCAGCGAGTGCGCATACATTTCCTTTCCGCCTCTGATAAAATCCTGCACTTGTTCATAAAAGGCAACTGAACCCGAGGAGACCCAACGAGCACAAATAAAAGGAATGGCACAATGTAATTTAAAATATTGCACCTTGATTGCATGGGCAAAACGACCGAATTGCAGTTAGTTTTACCCTGGCACGGCTAGTTTTATTTATTATTAGGGTGATTATTATCCTACAGAACAACGTATGCATTATAATAATAATAATAATCCTTGCATTTGATATAGCGCTTTTCACGTCGGGAGGACGTCCGAAAGCGCTTCACAGAACACACTGTAAAGTGAATTGACTGTATATTTGTGGGCGAACGCGGCAGCCAATTGCGCACAGCAATGTCCCACAAACAGTCGTAGATTGAAAATGACCATTTTTTATTATTGTTTTTGGTTTGGGAGGGATTATTATGGCCAGATAAACAGATAATCTCAATATAAATACACAATAAGACCGGAGTACGGTTTTAATTGGGTTAAAGGGGAAAAACAATAAGCAAACCAGGGCCCAAACATTTGAACCCATCAATCAATGCTCTCGTATGCAGAGCTGCTGTTCTGAAACGCCGATGTCTTTCAGATCAACTCCACGTATAACCCTTTCAAGAGTAATGCGGATATATAATCTGACAGAGCATCCTTTTTAAAGAAGCCCCGGAGGAATTTGCAAAACTTTAATACGTTATGATTACTTTGTGCTGGGAAATGGTGAATATAATCGTCTCCAGAGAGAGAGAGGGAGAGAGAGAGATATGGTGAAACGTGTGTCACTGCGTTAGTCAAGGCTGCCATCTAGAGGGGCTTTGGCAGGAGGACAACCCAGCGATCTGCAATCTGCTCCACTCAGGTTAACATCTGCAGATGAAGCATTGGCGCATTTCACGCCACGCACAGGATTGGGCTGAAAAGGTAACACAACAGCAATGGGATAAAAAGACACCCCTCTTCATAACCGTCTGAATGCTGCATTGCTCTGACGTGCTGAACACACCCCAGTGCGTGCGTTTGATCTGAATAATTTCAACAGTTTTTTACCTGCACTGTTTCTCACAAATAAGCAAGTCGTGCGATATAAGGTGCCGGTGGTTTTTATTTGCATTGTATTTTTTTTTCACTTCCAACTCCCTTTCCGCTCAAATGATTAGTTAATCTTTTTTTGGGGGGGGGGAGGGAGGGGGGTGGGGGAAATGCTGCACGCGTGTTCAAGCAGGCATTGGGGCTCTGCACATTTTCCAAAACATGTTTAATGTTTAAGGTGGAAAAGAGGAGAGGCAATTAAAGAAGCGAAGTGATGGTGGCTATACCTTTTGAAGCAGCCTAAATTCTCCTGTGGTGCCCGTCAGTGTCCATAGTGATCAGAGTTTACATGCACCGCAGTCAAAATTGCAGTAAATTTAACCATCAAAAAGGAACGGTGTAGTGCCGTTGGTGAGCGTGAGGGCTGTACCCAGGATTTTTAATAGATCCACAATAGGAAATTAGATCCAGACCCAAGTCTGAGCGCAGTCCGGAGCATGCAGGGAGGGGGGGGGGGGGGGGGGACGAAATGATGAGTGAGTGAAGGTCAAATCTGCAAGGGCTAAATTTGAAAGGAGTCAAAGACGAAGCTAAGCTTGAGAGGAGCAAGGGCCAGTCGGTGGGTTTGACTGGGTTCTGAAGCCATAGGCCATTTTTCAGTGGGAACCAGAGGCTGCAAT